ATAGAAAGCTTGTAAGTCTGTCTTCTGCCTATAACTGATTGGAATACCTAAAATGGGGCTACAATGTGCCCAGTGAAGGAGGCTTCCTGCGGAGCTTCTGCTATACATAAGACTATAGGTGGAATCCTGAACAGCACCCAGAATCTTCAGATGTGGGAAATTTCCTCTTGAAAGGACGGGCAGACCAGCCTGGAGTGGCTAGAAGAACAGAAGATACTTCTTGAAAGAAAGACCGACAGGAAAAATATAAAACAATATAGGCAGACCGAATGATTACTATAAGAACAAGCAAGCTGCCCGTCCAGGAGACATCAAGGCAAGTGGTCAGGTCCCCTCAGAGGAAAACCCTTCCAAGACTAAGACTCAATGGGAATACATGCTCTGATGGGTGAACACGTTCGTCACTGACAAGAGAAAGTGAGGGAAAAACAACAACGAAGCTGTGAGTTAAGCCCTACAACGCTCAATACAGTCCTGTGAACCCAGGTGGAGACCTGGTTGGCCAGCAGTGTGGCAAGACCTGGGGACTCTTGGGCCCAGTCAGTGGCATAGCCACAGAGGACTACAGTGGAGTGTGAAGTGACCAGCTGATAAGAGAGGGCATATGCCCAAGAACACCCACAACTGCAGATAATACCCACTTGACCTGTCTTCAATAACTGGATGATCAGAGCTCAACTAGAAGAAGAAAGAAGAGGGAAAAAAAGAGTAATGCGATACAATTTGATGAACTTGACCTACACCTATGGATGCAGTAGCTCAAAAGAGGGAACAAATCTTTACAGACAGGATCATTCCCACTCCCTCCATACACAGAGTAGACAGGAATTGGTAATTTGTAACTTGGACATTGGCTACCCAAAATGGGGGGCTGGGGAGGGGAGGGCTTCAAAGGCAAGAAGTGACTGGCTTACAAGCTTTCAAGAGGGAACCTAGATCAAGAGGGCATGGAATAAGGTAGGATCTCCACTGAGTAGTATCCAATCTGTCTAGGCAGGGCTGATGAAATGATACGCAAATAGGTCTCTTATGATACAATACTGAATAATTGTTATCAGGACTGATTGTGAGGGTTGGAAATGTAAAGGTAGATGTTTTGTAGTAAGGTGGGGAGTGATTATCTTTGAAGTCTAGGAGTGGAGGTTCCTGGGACCATCAAGGGAGAAGAGCGGAGAGCAGGACCCTACCCAGAGAAGCAGTGATGCCTAAGATGGAGGCAGAGATGATGATGTGGAGAGATGGAGCAGTTGTGGACTTTAGACCTAGAGAGGGAGAGGGGCTGTCTGCTGATGACCTGGAGGTAGGGCGGGGGCGCAGGAGAGTGGGTGACAGGCTTGTAGGATAGATCCTTCGGTTGGTTGATGATGCATGGAGGGGATTTTTAACCATGGCAATGAAATCATATACGATAGGATGAATGTAAAACTAATGTTCTCCCATGTAAACTATCACATAATTCACAATAAAACATAAAAAAATAATAAAAAAAAAAGATTTCTAGAAACTGAGACGTGCCTTTTAAATTAGTACTAGTACAATGATAATTTGAGTATCTACTAATATTTTCTATAAATTTAAAAGAAATTCACAACAAACCTGTTTCACTTTTTAATTTATAAGATCGGCTTCCATCCAGGCTGATGTGTTGTTGCACAATTATAGAGTCACCATAAACACTTGCCCTATATGCATCATCTCCTCTGTTCCTTAATGTTATTGAGATATCTGCTGAGCTGAAACATTGAGGTTAAGCAAAGTCACATCAATATACAGTGCAAATACAATATTAAGTTATTAGAATTTTCCGGTATTTTCAAAAACCCAAGTAACCTGGCAAATTGACTTGAAAATTTGCTTTATACCAGAAACTATCTACTACAGAATGTCAACGATATTGCGTCTAACAAGACAATGGAATTGGGATTAAGAGAAAGCTTTATAAAAAAAATACTTGCATAGTCTTATCCATAACAGAAATATCAGACTTGTACAAAATCAAAGATCTGGTTGTTTTCAAATTGCATAGATAAGTAATGTAGCACTGTGGGGTAATGCATTGGACTGCAAAGTCGGCCTTGAACTGCAAGGTCAGTGGTTCAAGCTCACCAGCTGCTCCTCAGAAACTCTATACATGGTCACTATGGGTGGGAACCAAGTCAAGGGCACTTAACAACAACAACAATGAATTCAATAATAAACTACCACATTGACAGTAAGGGAAGCAATTTTTAACTTTTCAGTTACTTTACAATAAAAATAGCAAAGTATCTGATATCAAGAAATGCAAAATTAGACATGATTGTAGTCCTCAAATCAATTCTGATTAAATAATATGGGAGTACTAAATCAGTCAAAAGGCAGAACACTTTCTTTTTTAATTTTTGGAGAACTAGCGGCAGAAATTTTGTGCAGGGGCCCTGCCTGATTGATTAGTGATTCCGTGTCGCCCCTATCATGTTAATGTGGTTGATGCTAGGTTAGGGTCAAGACCCAAGAAAGCCCAGTGTTTATAAACACTCCCTTAAACAATAGCATATACTCTTCCCTGGCAGTTGTTTTAGGAAGGCCGGCAGAACGTGTTAAGTGGACTGCAATATGGCAATAATTTATACAAGCTTGGAAGTGGAGCAGGTAGCAGTGGGCCATGTTGGAAACAAGAGGCAAGAGAAAGAAATAAGATATGACACCTCTGGTCTTGTTCTGAGGAGCTACTTCATTTTCAGTATTTCTACATGAACTGAGAATCTAAAGTGCTACTTCTTACTAAAAAATTGAACACACATATAGACAGCAAACACTTACTTCTGTCCATCTTTCACAAAACCCTTTAATGAAGATCCTCTATTAGTAGCTACTGCTTTTCCACCAAGACCAACTATGAGAGCTGTGAGTACTGCACTCTTCCCACCTAAAAAAA